GTTACACCTGGTGAAGGTGTTGGATACACCAGGTCAATGTGTTGGTTGTGTTACACCTGGTAAAGCTGCTGGTTACACCTGGTGAAGGTGTTGGATACACCAGGTCAATGTGTTGGTTGTGTTACACCTGGTAAAGCTGCTGGTTACACCTGGTGAAGGTGTTGGATACACCAGGTCAAGGTGTTCTGTTACACCGGCTGAAAGTGCTGGTTACACCTGGCGAAGGTGCTGGTTACACCTGGTGACAGTATTGGTTCTGTTGCACATGGAGATGGTGCTGGTTCTATTATACCTGGTGAGGGTGCTGGTTCTATTATACCTGGTGAGGGTGCTGGTTCTGTTACACCTGATGAGGGTGCTGGTTCTGTTACACCTGGTGAGGGTGCTTTTTCTGTAGCACCTGGAGAAGGTGCTGGTTCTGTTAAACCTGGTGAGGGTGCTGGTTACACCTGGTGAACGTGTTGGTTCTGTTACACCTGGTGAGGGTGCTGGTTACACCTGGTGAAGGTGTTGGATACACCAGGTCAAGGCATTGGTTGTGTTACACCTGGTAAAGGTGCTGGCTACACCTGGTGAAGGTGCTAGTTACACCTGGTGAAGGTGCTGGATACACCTGGAGAAGGTGCTGGTTACACCTGGTGAACATGTTGGTTCTGTTACACCTGGTAAAGGTGCTGGCTACACCTGTTGAAGGAGCTGGTTACACCTGGTGAAGATGCTGGATACACCTGGAGAAGGTGCTGGTTCTGTTACACCTGGTGAGGGTGCTGGTTACACCTAGTGAAGGTTTTGGTTGTGTTACACCTGGTCAAGCTGCTGGTTACACCTGGTGAAGGTGTTGGTTCTGTTACACCTGGTGAGGGTGCTGGATACACCTGGAGAAGGTGTTGGTTGTGTTACACCTGGTGAAGGTGCTGGATACACCTGGAGAAGGTGTTGGTTGTGTTACACCTGGTGAGGGTGCTGGATACACCTGGAGAAGGTGTTGGTTGTGTTACACCTCGTGAAGGTGCTGGTTACACCTGTTGAAGGAGCTGGTTACACCTGGTGAAGGTGCTGGATACACCTGGAGAAGGTGCTGGTTGTGTTACACCTGGTGAAGGTGCCTTATCTATGTGTTCAGGTAGGTTGTAGTCATGAAAGTTTCCCAGATGTTTAACAGTTTTCGTGCTGAGGGTCAGATGAGAAGCGATCAAAAACAACAGCAGGAAAAACCCGATGAAAACTCTGTATCATATAAAATGCGGAGAGCAAATGAAACTGGATTACTGCAGCTCCAAAAAGCAATAACTGACTTTATTTGCTCCTAAAACCAAGTCATCTCCAAGCCAACTGAAACCTGGATGGTCTGAGGCCTGGGTGTTTGCACGGTCCCTTCATCTGGGCCATCTGGCCTGTCACAGAACCACCAAGACTCTGTAACAAACTGTCTGGATGAAACCTGAGAGGGTGGAGCAGAGGAGAGGCTGTAGATCAACCTGTCCGCCTACAACCACAGCCGAGGTTCAGCTTTCTACCCGTCCACCCCCCAGCTTCCCTTTACTGGTTCCTCAGGAGGTCCAGTCCTGCATTCTAACAGAAATGTTCAGGACCCACCAAGAAGCGGATGAATGAACTGAGCTCAGTGTCTGCTGGCCAGAAGAGGGCGCCGTGACCACTGGAAACAAGCTGGCAGGTCAGTTCATCCCCATGTAACTAGAAACCAGCAGGGAAAAGCTTTTTTATCACTCTAAACTGGTTTATATTGCTGAAGACGCTTCCTGACCTGAATATTGGAGGAGTCCCCTGATTTATCAATAAAACTAAAAAAGCTTAATGAGGTTTAAAGAAATGAGAAGGTCTATTTATGATAGAAACATGTCAAGATATCCTCAATATAATAAGAATCTAACAGAAATGAGGAAATGAGAGCTTCAAACACTGAGGGGACGAATGTTTTGGGGTAAGAAGCTGTCAGTGATGTGAGAGAAATGCCTCAGTTCGTGCTTTCTCTACTTGGACTCGTCCTTCATGCTGATCAGAAACCTGTCTGCTTCACATGTTCAGACTTTATCAAGCACTCCTGAACTTCCTCCTTTATGGTAAAAACTGACAGGAGATCAAACATTTAACTCTCTGAAAGATGAATTTCTGGGAATAAAATAAACCATCGATGTGCTGAAAGTAGGTGAAGCAGCTGTAGTCTGTCTCTGAGTACAGAGACTCTGCTGATTGTTTTTTATTTTCATAGTGTGGTCTGGAGATGTGGTGGCAGATTCTGCACCTCCTGAGCCTCCAGAGCCTGAGTAGAGCAGAGGGTCAGAGCTATCTAGGTTACATAAGGACCTAAAGCACACATTGCCTTACTGATTACACACAGCCAAGCACACTCTGTATCTTTGTGTGACCTTGGTGCAGCTCTCTGCTCGTTCTGCAGGGTGTTGGTGAGACTCACTAGAGTTGAGGAGAATCATGGCCTTAAGGCAGACGTACTCCTCCCTCTGCAGCTTCAGCTCCCGGAAACGAGAGGTTGCTGCTAGGAGCATGTCGAAGATCTCCATGATGCCCTCCACACACTGTCCCTCCTCCCTGAAGAGACACAGAGCAGAAGCAGCCAATCAGAGAGATGGATGCTGGTCAAAGCTGAGCACTACTATATTAGATCACCGTACAACAAAACTAAAAAGTAAACATGTTCTGATTTATGTTTGATCACAGTTCTATAAAATCCAGGTTTTATTTTAGCTGAAAAAGGACTTTGGACCTCTGATCAGTCTGTCAGTTTTACAGAAAAAACTCCATTTCACTCAATACATCCCCACCATGCTGCTGTGGTTACATCTGAGAGGAAGAAGAAGAAGAAGAATCTTTGTTTGCGCACTGAGCGATTTGCAAATGACGGTCGGGAGAAAATTAAACATGTTTGACCTGACGATTCCTGATGGTGAGGTGGTCGTTAGAGGCCTATCGCCCCTCGTAACCCCCTGTACACCAAACGACTCAAGCTGCACGATCAAGCTGAAAGTCGGCCTGATCAGAAAATTCTCGCTCGACTGGAAAATTGCCCCGAAAATCGCACAGTGTACAGTATGCCAGGCTTTAGGCAGTGATATAGGTCCACTGCACAAACCTGACAGAGGTTCTTGTAGCAAACCACCCGTTTGGTTATTAAAAACATTCAAATATTCCTTTACCATATAGTTCAGCTATTTTTCAATGCATTTATTTTCATGATTTAAGTGTATAAAATACAGTTCATGATTTGTTTTTACTTCATGATTTGTATTCATATGCAAATTGCTCGGTTTTGAGTTTTTGGTTATAATGAGCTTTATTTTGAAAAACCGCTAACTACTTCCTGTCAGTATCACACTCTGGAAAAACGGAGGCAAAAACAGTACAAGCTACCGGTAAAAGTAAGAAGTTTAAGGAAAACAAAAAGGAGATAAGTAACAGTATGAATAATAGACATCTGCAAGATAAAGAGTAACCCCCCGAGGAGGCACAAGTTATAACGATGGTTTCAACAAGTTACTTTCATGGAGCCTGGAAATAAATACTGAAAACCATTAGTCGAGTCTACAATCTTTCGGAGGGTGTTCTACAGTTCTGCTGAGTCAGACTTGACTGATGATCCTGCGTGTTGGTTTGTATTTCTTTGACGTCCCCGCAGAATCACAACCAGAAACAGTGAATTTTAAAATTTTATTTACAAATCAACAAGAATCTGGAAGCGCAGATCTGAAGGAAGTTAGCTGAATTTTCTGGTCGGTCTGAGGGGAGAAAGCAGATCAGGAAGGAGGACTGAACCCCAGAGGTCCAAGAGAATGTGAGGGAGATCCCACACCGTTGGTACTTGAAGACACGTGGTGCTGGAGAGCAGGCAGGGGTTGGAGACTGAGAACTGCTGCACACAGGTGAGACCTTTCCATGAAGATCAGAGAAGAACTGAGGTTCACTGGTTGCCTGGAACAATAACAGAGTCCACATTAAAACAGTCACAGGAAGATTTAGACCAGAAAGATCTTCCTGGTTTAAGACTTTGTCTAGAATCCAATCAGAGGGAATCATCAGGCAAAGAGAGATGATCCTTCACCTCCTTATTTCCATGGTAACATCATCTCTTCATCATTCTCAGATCATGCAGATCTTGTCTCATTCAGTTCTCCTTTTACTGACTTATTATTTTCATGACAAACTTTCATCTGTAAACTGAATGATAGAAAAACACACCAGAGCCTGGAAGCCTCAGCTTATAAATCAGCTAAACTACGTACTTATAACTCTACTTACAATAACTTACAAGGGGAAGACATAAATTAAACATCCCCAATCATTTTAAAACATCTTTAGAGGAACCGTTGGTGTTTCCTGTAGAACCACTAAACCAGATCAGCTCCTTACAGGAAGTTTTCCATCATTCTGTTATATCATATCTGAGTCTATTTTAACAGTGCCAGCCGCAACCTGCACTCCTTTCTTACTTGTTGTTAATTAACTGAGTTTATGTTACTTTTTGGCTCTTCATATTTAGTACAAGACTAAAGAATAAATACATCAAATGCCTATTCATTTATTTGAACCAAACATTTATCATAAGGATCAGTCCAATCCAAATAAAATGAATCGATTGACACACTCACCATAATACCACCTCTCCATCAGCTCTGAAAATGACCTTCCTCTTCTTCCTCCTCTTCTTCTTCTGTTTTAAAAGGGGTGCACTCTGTTCCACATCTTAACGTTAACAGTGTCACAAACAGCCAGCTGTTTCTGCTCTTCCGACCATAATAACCGTCGACACGCAACATTTCCCCTCATTCATAACGGGTCAAATTCAACGGGGACATTTTCAGGGATAGCTTTAGCCGGGGACAGGTGCTACTAAATGGGGATTGTCCCGGTGGACGTCTGATCACCTTGCTGCTGCATAAAGAACGGGTTACTGCATTTTGAAAACATCCCAAAATAAACACAACCAGGCCGTATTTTCTGAATGTTCATCGTACAGCCTGAGAGGACGGCAGATCTTAGAAACAAATATGACACCAGATGTAGAAAACTTTCTGACCTGCTGAGTCTGAAGTCCGGAGAAAAAATGAGCTTCCCAGGATGGTCCACAGACCTCCACATGAGGCCCAGCATCAGGATCTCCAGCCAGCAGCACTTCAGCAGGTGAATCTGGTCTGCTAGACTCAACTCCACAAAGCCTGGGGAGGAGGATAAAGACAAGCTGTTACTTCAAATCACCTAAAATAAACATCCAGATGAACAGCGACCGGTCGTCGAATCGGCCAATCACAAGGCAGGATCCAAGATTTTAGGAAGGCATCAGAATGAACTCTGCAGATACAGACTCCCACAGCTAAAGACCAACCGATGGATGCATCCTGAAACTTAGCATCAGCAGCTATCAGATGCCATCATCTGCTTATCATATGACGTCTGCTTTAAGTCCAGTCCAGAAGTACACTGGTTCAGCTTCTTACTGTAGGTTTCAGCCTGGAAAGGAGCAGGGGAGCAGCTGGCTGATGTCAGGTGTTAGGGAGGACCTCTGGCTCTAGCTAACCGCTGTCAGACACAGTCTCTGAATCCAGAACATGTGGAAACGGAGGAGCAAAAGGAGCCTCAAGCAACAGCAGCTGAGAACAGGAGGAAAGACCTTCCTTGATCACCAGGATGGTGATTGTCCTGGAGTTCAGCTGCAGGATCAAATGGAGGCCTGGTTCATCCCGGAGGCGATGCAAACATCAGACGGGCTTTGACATGCGTTGGCTTGAGGAAGGGCACCTTGCGTGCACTGCAGGATTTTAATCCTTGACGGCGTAGAGTGTTACTGATTGTTTCCTTTGAGACTGTGGTCCCAGCTCTATTCAGGTCATTGACCAGGTCCTGCCGTGTAGTTCTGGGTTCATTCCTCACCTTCCTCAAGATCAATGATGCTCCACGAGGTGAGATCTTGCATGGCGCCCGAGACTGAGGGAGATTTTCCGTTATTTTGTATTTCTTCCATTTTCTAATAATTGCACCAACTGTTGTTGCCTTCTCACCAAGCTCCTTGCCTATTGTCCTGTAGCCCATCCCAGCCTTGTGCAGGTCTACAATTTTATCCCTGATGTCCTTACACAGCTCTCTGGTCTTGGGCATTGTGGAGATGCTGGAGTGTGATTGATTGTGTGGACAGGTGTCTTTTATACAGGCAACGAGTTCAAACAGGTGCAGTTAATACAGGTAATGAGTGGAGAACAGGAGGGCTTCTTAAACAATAACTAACATGTCTGTGAGAGCCAAAATTCTTACATGTTGATAGATGATCAAATACTTATTTCACACAATAAAATGGAAATTAATTATTTAAAAATCATACATTGTATTTTTCTGGATTTTTGTTTTAGATTCCATCACTCACAGTTGAAGATAATAGTAGTATTAATAGTAGAGTAATAGTAGATAGTATGATAAAAGTATGATAAAAATTACTCTTCTACAAGCTTTGGAAGTGGGAAATCTGAAAAATCAACAGTGTATCAAATACTTGTTCTCCCCACTGTACCTGCATGTGAAAAAGACATTTTTGTAGCTCTTTGAAATACTGAACTTGTGAAATTGAAACTGTTGTTATAAAACTGCTTTAATTTTTCATTTTTATTTTGTTTATTAATGTCATTACTTATTTCATCTGTCTTTTAGAGCAACTCCCAGACTCCCAGTAGAACAAACTATAAGCTTATTTAAATGGGGCAGAGCCTGACCTGTTTTACATTTAAGCTGTAACATATCAGGCTCTCTCTATTCAGGCTCATATTAGATCAGAGCCAAACATTCAGATGCAGCTCATCTTCTCCTCTAAATGGTTTTCTTGGTGCTTCGGGGTTTAAAAGAAGCTTTCACCAAAGAGGAATCATTTTAACCATAAAATAACTGAACAAACAGAATCCGTGTTTCACCTGACAGACGGCGCCTCTCCCAGCTGCTAGCTCTCATCTCAGAGCAGAAAATGTGAACTCATTTTCATTTCGGAGAGAATGAACCAAATCACAGCAAATCAGAAAAAAAAAGTCTTCATTCAAAGCTAGAGTCTTTGTGAGCTCCTTCAGTTAACGTCTGGAAGCTGCCTGTGAGCAGGAAAAGATGCAGATGGGAGGGAAACCGAAGTTAAAGCCAAACTCAGACCTTTGACTTTCTCCAACCTTTCCATGAAGACCAGCAGAAAATGTTCATCTAAGGAGATGTTGAGCTTCTTACCTGGGATCTTTTTGGCCCAGCTGATCATGAGCACCAGCTCCTTGTCTGCCAGGCTGGTGAGAGACATCATCATGCTGGCCTCAGTGAAGGGCTTCTTCAGGTCCTCCATCAGGTAGATCTCAGGCGGTTCTGCCTCCATGATCCGGGAGATGAACTCCTCAGGGGTCATGGCCGTCGGGTTAGCGTGGCTGAGCTGAGCCGGCGGGGAGAGAGGCAGGTCCAGTGGGGGAAGACGCTGAGCGCGTGGAGCCATCCCGACCCTCATCAAACTCCTGCCTGATGCATCTCTAAGATGGGGCCCTCCACGGCGATGGCGGGCCCCGCGGTAGCTGCAGCGTTCACGCCTCACACCTAGTGGACAAGAAGGCCAGAGAGAATGAATGGGGGACCAAACATTTGTGAGGGATCAGAGCGGTCCGTCTGGGATCAGGACTCTGTGTGACATTCAGTCCTGGAGAACAGCACTTCTGAAGGAAACTACGGCTTCCTGTGGAATAAAACATCATTTAATAATTATGTTTTATTCAACTTTTTTGTTGTTAATGGGGCTGCTCAGTGTTGCAGTGGGTAGCACTGCTGCCTGCCAGCAAAAAGGTTCCGGGTTTGATTCCCAGCCTGGGGTCGTTCTGCATGGAGTTTGCATGTTCTCCCTGAGCATGTGTGGGTTCTCTCCGCATGGATGGATGGATGATGGATGGGTGAATGATGGATGGATGGGTGATGGATGGATGGATGGATGCAATCAGCTGCTTTTCCTTAGATAGAAAACTTTGAATCGATCTGACTGGATGATGCAAAATAATATAAATAATATAAATAATTCTCAGTGCAGGTAAATAATATTTATTTTCCTTTATTGTTTCTATTGTAAACCTTAATATCTGTAATGCTGCTCTTCTAACATTTCTAGATAACTTTCATCTGTTGATTCCAAATCTTTTCACATTCTTTGATGTTTGCCTTTGAGAAGCAGCTGGTTAGCAAACATCCTTCCCACTTATGATTCAGATTTCCACAGCATGATTATGCTACAACTGTACTTTCCTACATTTCAACAGTGTTTTCAGTGAAACAATCTGAAGCTATTTGTTTAAAACTGCTTGACTTGTTGTGGACATGATGGTGGAGAGATGGTTGATGATGCCTACCACACTTCATCATGCCCACTTCGTAGCATTTCCGTAAGCGGCAGGCCTGGCAGCTTTTACGACGGTTCTTGTCTATAGTGCATTGGTTTGTTGCAGGGCAAATGTAGTCGTTGTGTCCTGGAGACAAGAACAAATTTTTCTAAGTGATGAAGCAAATTAATGAGGATATGAGGGGCAGAGGGAGGGGAATACCTTGGATACTTCTCTTGAAAAAAGCTTTGCAGCCCTCACACGACCACACGCCATAGTGGTAGCCAGATGCGTAGTCATGACAGACGGCGCAGAAGTGCATGTCTGCTTTCCCTACAGAGGATGAGCATGAGGAGGACTTCCCTCCCTCTGCTTCTTCTTCTGACTTCCTCCCCAGCAGCTTGCTGCAGCTGAGGACAGAGCAGCAGGAAGAAAACAGACTGAGTGGCAACGACAGCCTCCCATCATCATCATCACTCACTGGCTGGTTGGTCCTTATTCAGATTCTGCTGGCTGGAAATAAAAGCTATCAGATGATTAAAAAATCAGTGGTTGTCAGGTTGCTCCAGATATAATGACTGATAATATTACCTCCTGATTAACCTGAAAGTTTTCACCGTAACCATAGAAACAATCAACACACAACACATATTGCAAGTGACAAATTAAAATAGGGCTTACAACAACCCCCTCCGCCACCCCCCACCCACACACACACACCTTTAAAGAGCTCCTTTAATTGAAATAAATTTAAAATTCAGTTTTTAAGTCCAATTCACAACACATCATCCCAAGATGCTTTCCAGAGATAATTAAACCAGATACTAAAATCTGATTGGTTCAAAGTTTCTAAGGAAAAGAAGCTGATTGCATCCAGTCATTGAACTCACAGGATTTTCTGCTCACATATGAACAGGTAGAGACATGAAAGCCTCCACTCTTGAGCATCCCTCACACTGGGGGTGAGGGATGCTTGAGGGATGTGAAAAGTGAGTTTCTGTCAAAACTCACTTTTGACAGAAAGCAGCTTCCAGCAGAACCAGAACCAGGCTCAGTATGATCCATCCATCCAGTACACATGGAAAAGGAACATGGAAGCACTGATCTATAGACCGTTTCTATGCTAGAAAAGCTAACAGCTAAACAAAACAGTTAATCAGACCAGCTCCGAGCCAGCTCCCATGTCAGAGAATGAAGAGAGCACATCCAGTTAGTC